AAAGGGACATGTAAGCAAAATGCAATGGATTTTCTTCCATTGACTCTAGTTTTTTTTTGTTTGGTTTTTTCTTTTTCTCAATTTTTTTTTTTTTTTTAAGATGGGGTTTCACCATGATGGCCAGGCTGGTCTTGAACTCCTAACCTCAGGTGATCCACCCACCTCGGCCTCCCAAAGTGCTAGGATTACAGGCGTGAGCCACCACGCCTGGCCTGGTTTTTTTGTTTTTGTTTTTTTTGAGACAGAGTCTTGCTCTGTTGCCCAGGCTGGAGTGCAGTAGCGCCATCTTGGCTCACTGTAACCTCCACCTCCCAGGTTCAAGCAATTCTCCTGCCTCAGCTTCCTCAGTAGCTGGAATTACAAGTGTGAGCCACCATGCCCAGCGAATTTTTGTGTTTTTAGTAGAGACAGGGTTTCACCGTGTCGGTCAGGCTTGTCTTGAACTCTTTTCTCATGATCTGCCCGCCTCAGCCTCCCAAAGTGCTGGGATTACAGGCATGAGCCACTGCACCCAGCCTTTTTTTTTTTTTTTAATTTAATTTATAAAAGACATAACTAGAACAGAATTGGACCCCAGGTGTGGTGGCTCACACCTGTATTTCCCAGTTTTGGGAAAATCTTCCCCAGGTGGTAGGATCTCTTGGGGCCAGGAGTTCAAGACTAGCCTGGGCAACATAACAAGACCCCATTTCTACAAAAAAAATTAAATTAAAAAAATTCGCTGGGCATGGCAGCTCATGCCTGTAATCCGAGCACTTTGGGAGGCTGAGGCAGGTGGATTGCCTGAGCTCAGGAGTTTGAGACCAGCTTGAGGAACATGGTGAAACCCCATCTTTACTAAAATACAAAAATTAGTCAGGCATGGTGGCACACACCTGTAATCCCAACTGCTCGGGAGGCTGAGACAGGAGAATCGTTTGAACCCAGGAGGCAGACATTGCAGTGAGCCGAGATTGTGCCATTGCACTCTGGCCTGGACAACAAGAGTGAAACTGTCTCAATTTTAAAAAAAATTAAAGAAAAGAAAAAGTTGTTTTAAAAAGAGAATAATTGGGAAATTTTGAATGTGGACTTTATATTAGATAATAGGATTGTATCAATGTTAAATTTCTCTAGTGTGATTGAAGTATTGTAATTATGACAAATAATGCTATCATTCTTAGGAAATACACATTAAAAGCTTTAGGATTAAAGTGTCATGAGACCAACTCTCAAGAATGTGTGTGTGTGTGTGTGTGTGTGTGTGTTGGTCAGAGAGAAAGAGAGGGCTATACAGAGAAAAAGTAAATGTGGTAATACATTAATAATTGGTGAATATCGGTGAAGAGTATTAGCTGTTTATCCTACTATTCCAACTTTTCCAGTGATTTGAAAGTTGAGAAAATAATCTTTTAATAGTAAATGCAAGATTAGAAGGAATTGAGGTATTAAACATAGCTTTATTTTATTGTAAAATTAAGATATAATTTTTTTTTTTTTGAGACAGAGTTTCACTCTTGTTGCCCAGGCTGGAGTGTAAGGGCGCTATCTGGGCTCACCATAACCTCCGCCTCTCCGGTTCAAGCAATTCTCCTGCCTCAACCTCCCAAGTAGCTGAGATTACAGGTATACGCTACCACAGCTGGCTAATTTTTCTATTTTTAATAGAAACAGAGTTTCTCCATGTTGGGTTAGGCTGGTCTCAAACTCCCGAACTCTGGTGATCTGCCACCTTGGCTTTCCAATGTCCTGCGATTACAGGCGTGAGCCACCTCGCCTGATCAAGATACACTTTTACACTTTTTGGCCAGATGGAATGGCTCACACCTGTAATCACTTTGGGAGGCTGAGGAGACTGGATCACTGAGATCAGGAGTTTGTGACCAACCTGGCCAACATGGTGAAACCCTGTCTCTACCAAAAAAATAGAAAGATCAGCTGGATGTGGTGGCCCACGCCTGCAGTCCCAGCTGCTTGGGAGGCCGAGGCAGGATAATTGCTTTAACTACACTTTTCTGTAGCTCTGTAATTTCAGTATTTTAACCTGCTGAGCCTGTTATTTTTATTATTGGCAAATGATAAAAGATAGAAAGATAGATAAAAGATAGATAATGATAGAAGAAAGTCCAGGCGCAGTGGCTCACGCCTATAATCCTAGCGCTCTGGGAGATCAAGGCAGGTGGATCACCTGAGGTCAGGAATTTGAGACCAGCCTGGCCAACATGACAAAACTCTGTCTCTACTAAAAATACAGATATTAGCCAGGCATGGTGGTGGGCGCCTATTATCCCAGCTACTTGGGAGGCTGAGGCAGGAGGATGGCTTGAACCTTGGGGGCAGAGGTTGCATTGAGCTGTGATGGCACCATTACACTCCAGCCTGGGAGAAAGAGTGAAACTCCATCTCAAAAAAAAAAAAAAAAAGGACGGATAGAATAAAAGACAAGATAGATTCTTCTTTGTTAGGAATATCCATTTTAGTTTTGTGTACCTGATTCTATAAATTCTTTAAATGGCTTTATTTAACTTTGTACTTGGCAGAAATTTTGTCTTGAGAGTGAAATGAGATGATTAGGAGATACCATTCAGAAACACCATGTATGAATGCTGGTTTTAAAAGACATGAGTTAACAACATGGATGATCCTTTAAAGCATTATGCTTATTATATTAAATGTCCAAGAAAGGCAAATATATAAAGACAGAAAGTTTAGTGGTGCTTAGGGTTGGCAATGGGGATAACTATAAATGGGCATGAGGTTTCTTTTTAGGAATTACTCTAAATGTCCTAAAATTAGATTGAGATTATGATATACAACTCTGTAAACACAGTAAAATTCATCTAATTGTATACTTAAAATTTAGATAGAGACAGGTGGCAGGGAAATTCTGGGCAGAAGAGGGTGGGTCCCTGGCAATGGCCCCACCCTCAAGCCAAAAAGCCTAATACCACGGCCCAAAGTCAAAACTTACATACGTGTTTTCCTGCTCAAATGCTGCCTTTTCCAAAATCACCCATGGCCCACCCCATCCCCCCATCCTGTACCTATAAAAACCCCAGAACTCAGCCAGCAGAAAATAGAAAAGCAGCTGGACATCAGAGACTGCAGTTGGATGTTGGAAATAAGCAGCCTGGCTTCAGAGGGAGAGTTTGATAGCATAGCTTCAGAGAGGAGTCAGGCCAGGGATGGCCAGACCCCAGGGGAAGATCACCTTCCTGCTCTGTCCCTTTTTCAGCTCCCCTTCCAACTGAGAGCCACTGTCACAGGCAATAAAATTCCCTGCATTTATCATCTCCAATTCATTTGTGCGACCTCATTCATCCTGGTGCCATGAGTGTGGGTGCAAAAGGCTATCACAGTTACCTTCCACTGAGCTGTTAACACTTAAGCTGTCCACAGACAGCAAAGCTAAAATGGCACTGTAACACTTCCTCTGGGGCTTCAGGGATCATAGGCACCTCACTAGATGGTGCCATGGGGTCCACACAGAGTTTTGCTCCTGCTGGCGCCCAAAGGCGCCTGCCCCAGCTCTTGCACCTGCTCACCTGCACTCCCCCTTCTAAGGGGTAATGCAGTGGTACCGCAGGAGTATAGTCCACCTCTGCCAGCACTGAAACAGCCAGCTAGTTCTAGTGCACTCCAGTTCCCGCCAGTGAAAGGATCAGGAAAATATCCTGTTTCACAATGAGTACATTTTATAGTATATAAATATCTCAGATGTTAAAAGAAGGTATAAGATTAAAAGACTTTAGCCAGATGAAACATATAATCTCAGTTTGAAGGGACTTTAAGGTATAAGAAGTCTATTGTAACTACTTGTGAAATATTCAACAGAATATTTATTGTTCTATCCTTAGATTTTCCCTATTTTTACCAAAAGAAGCAACATACATTCAAACTGCCTGGAGGCATCTAGATGTAAAGGAACAATTGATTTATAGAATGATTCTCTAAAAATACTTTAATAAATTTAAAGTATGACTAGAACGACTAGAATCAAGGTAGCAGAGGATCAGAGAAGACCCATTCCTTAATTATTAAGTTGCTCTGTAACTAAAATTTAAAATTTTAATTCCTTCAGCAAATGATTATTGAATGTTTATTATGGCCAGCTTTGTGTGTGTGTATGTTTTTAAAGATGGGGTCTCACTATTTTGCCCAGACTAGTCTCCCAGCCTTGGGCTCAAGCAATTGTCCCAAACTCAGCCTCCTGAGTAACTGGAATTATCAGCTACTGCAGCCAGCTCATATTATGATCAGTTTTAGAGATAACTGCTAAGATATAATTGCATATAGCTGATGATAGACATAAATATTTTAGAATGCTCTTTAGAGCCAGGTTTTACTGCTTAATTTTGGAATTTTTTTTTTTTTTTTGAGACGGAGTTTTGCTCATGTTGCCCAGGCTGGAATGCAATGGCACCATCTTGGCTCACTGCAACCTCCGCCTCCCAGGTTCAAGCAATTCTCCTGCCTCAGCCTCCAGAGTAGCTGGGATTACAGGCATGTGCCACCATACCCAGCTAATTTTTGTTTTTTTAATAGAGATGGGATTTCCCTGTGTTGGCCAGGCTAGACTCAAACTCCTGACCTATGATCCGCCAGCCTCAGGTCATAGTGAAGTTTGAAGAAGGTGAGCCTGCCCAGAGAAATAAATAAATAGAAAGCACAGGCCGGGCACGGTGGCTCACACCTGTAATCCCAAAACTTTGGGAGGCCAAGGTGGGTGGATCACCTGACGTCAGGAGTTTGAGACCAGACTGACCAACATGGAGCAACCCTGTCCCTACTAAAAATACAAAATTAGTTGGCGTGGTGGCACACACCTGTAATCCCAGTTACTCAGGAGGCTGAGGCAGGAGAATGGCTTGAACCTGGGAGGCAGAGGTTGTGGTGAGCCAAAATTGCACCATTGCACTCCAGCCTGGGCAACAAAAGCGAAATTCCATCTCAAAAAAAAAAAAAAATAAAAAATAATAATAATAGTAATAATAATAAATAAATAAAAGCAAGCAGGGAACCAAAGCAGGCTTCTTATGCTTATAGAGACCTCTCCCTTCTGCTCTCCAACCAACTGGAGAGTTCTGTGTTAATGTTAAACAGTATCCCCAATGCAGCCTTTGAAGAATTTTGGATATTACTACAGTTTCTTTAATGAAGTCCTTGCTCCATGATTAACCCCTTGCCCTGCCTTTAATGTTTATTCTTCAGTGACCCAATTATTCTAGATTTCTGCTGGTTGTCTAAGTGTAATACGGTTTACTGAAATGTATTGTTAGAATCATTCTAGAATGACCTGTTATGAGATATGCAGGCACAAACTGAGTTTTCTGTTCCACATTAAAAATGAGCTACAATTTAGGTGAGTTCTTAGTAAACGTGCGTGTGCAGAGAGGTCTCATTGAAATAGCAATCAATTCTTCATTAACTTTGCTATTAGAAGCAAGCAATAATGGAGTTCTTCCAAAATAGTGGATAAACCATAATATATTTTGAATTAAATTTAATGGATTTCTTTCCACTCAATGGATTTGACTGCCTAAACTCTTTCTTTTGGTCTAAATTTTAAAGGATTTCACATCCCTTGTGCACATATTGTGGTGTGGCCATGAGAGATCTGACTGGTGTTGGCTGAGAGGTTCAAGGTAGTCTGGGAATGGAAATTGCCCATGGGAAATTCACATGCAGATAATGAAGTGGTAGTTGTACCTGAAATATCGATCAAAATGCAACTCAATCTGTGTAGTAGACTTCAGTCTCTGCTCTTCTGGGGCCTTTCCTGCATAGGACAAGCAAGTTAAGGCTTTTAAAATGATCCCCATGTTCCTTTTTGAGAATGGAATTTGAACTTACATTTAAAATATTTGGTTCTGTGCTTTAAAGGTAAAGCTGATAATTTATTATGATTATCTAAAAAAAAAAAAAAGCCACTTTCTAGTCCATCTCTTTATGGAATATTCTGTCACTATATAGACAATGGCTTGCCATGAAATAAAACTGGTGAATGCTAAATATATGAGACAGAAACAATTTTATTCTACTATGCATGCTCATTTGCTATCATCACATTTATCGGGGAACAAGTAGCCTCAAAGAGTCCTTTAGTGTGTTGTTATTGTCCCTGCTTTCTGTTAGGTTTTGTGTATTTTCCTGGTCTTACTAGTAATATAATTAGATTTAGTTATATTGCAAACACAATCTTCCTTTTCCTAGGCTTTGCTCCTCCTAAATGTCTGCCATGAAAAACCAACCAGCCAACCAACCAACCAACCAACCAAACAGCAAAAGCTCAATTATAAAAAAAAAAGTAAGACAGCCTGGAAAACTCAAACATTTACTCAGAATCAATCATCTTACTAAGTAGAAGCTGTAATTGCAGTTTTTACATATGTACCAGGTACTAACCATATACTCAGTCTCCAGCAGATGTGTGCATCAATGAGGCCTCGCCATCATGGTTCCTAAACTATATTGCTGCTATTATTTCACATTAAAATCATTCTTATCTAATTTCCAAAGATCCATATTGTACCTATATGTAATGGTGGATTAATAGGTGTTTACAATGTTGCAGGACTTCTTAGTTCAGCTAAAAGCCAGGTTCTTGTCACAGGGCCATGAGAGATTAGGCTCACAGATACTTCAAAAGGTGAGAAAAGGCCGGGTGTAGTGGCTCATGCCTGTAATCCCAGCACTCTGGGAGGCTGAGGTGGGTGCATCACCTGAGGTCAGGAGTTCGAGACCGGCCTGACCAACATGGAGAAACCCTGTCCCTACTAAAAATACAAAATTAGCCGGGTTGGTGGCACATGCCTCTAATCCCAGCTACTCGGGAGGCTGAGGCAGGTGAATCCCTTGAACCTGGGAGGCAGTGGTTGTGGTGAGCCGAGATCACATCATTGCACTCCAGCCTGGGCAACAAGAAAAAAAGGAAATGGGGGCTCTTGTTTGCTAGCTGGCTTCCTGCCTTACAGACTGAATCCCAGGTTCCACCCCAGAACAGGAGAGGCCAGGCTTGAATCTGAATCCCAGACCTGCCCCATGCAAAGGGTGAGAACTTCCACGGCTCATCCCACTCTCCCAGTGTGCAGGCCAGTTGGAATGTCTCCTGGGACCCCTTTATACTTGGCTGTCTCACAATGATTTGGAAGTCTCTGCCTTTAACCTGAAGGAAATCTATTTTTGGTGAAACGTGAACCAAATTGTTCTCCTACTTCCCATTTGTCCTTTGTTTAGAATAAGGTTATGTAAATATACCTTTGAGCTGGGGCTGAGGTTTAGGGAAGTTGCCTCAGTTTGTGCCCTCATTGATATGTAAAAAAACCATTGAGTGGCAGTTTTGTCTCCTAAAGAACAGGCAGTAGATATTTAATTAATGACACCAAAGTCAGACCAAACTTATCTGTTTGTAGTTTTTCTTTTCATTTATTATACACATAAATATATACACATCCACACACACATATATATATATATACACATATATATTTAAAATTAATAGTGTAGGCCAGGTGCAGTGGCTCACACCTGTAATCCCAGCACTTTGGGAGGCCAAGATGCATCACTTGAGGCCAGAAGTTCGAGACCAGCCTGGCCAAAATGGCAAAACCTCCTCTCTACAAAAAATACAAAAATTAGCCAGGCATGGTGGCACAGGCCTGTAATCCCAGCTACTTGGGAGGCTGAGCCACAAGAATCACTTGAACCCTGGAGCGGAGGCTGCAGTGAGCCAAGATTGCACCGCTGCACTCCAGCCTGGGCAGCAGAGAAAGACCCTGTCTCAAAAAGGAAAAAACAAGAAAAAAAATTAATAGTGTAAACCAAAAATAAAATTTTAAGGACCCCAACCATCTGAATGGACCCCTCCTCTCAGTCAAGGACATGCCAGAGTCACCTGAAAATCTAGTTTACGCCATGAAGGAAGAAGGGACTGGACATGCTTCATTATACCTCTCTAAAATTAACATCAACACAGACCTTTACGTAGTAGTCTATTCTCTCCAAAGCCTGTTAGTTGGTGGCTTCATCTGCATGATGAAACCTTCATCTGCATGCAGAAACCTAGGTCTCTGCAACCCTTATCCACAATCCCTTATCATAACCCAGACATTCCTTTCTACTGATAATAACTCTTTTAGTCAATTGCCAATCAAAAAATGTTTAAATCTACCTATGAGCCAGGCCCGGTGGCTCACGCCTATAATCCTAGCACTTTGGGAGGCTGATGTGGGTGGATCACCTGAGGTCAGGAGTTCAAGACCAGCCTGGCCATCATGGTGAAACCCCATCTTAAAATAAACAAATAAATAAACAATCAATCAAATAAATAAATAAATCTACCTATGACCTGGAAGACCCATACCCTTCCTCCAACCATTGAGTTGTCCTTCCCTTCCAGATAAAACCAATGTAAACCTTACATGTATTTATTGATGTGTTATGTCTCCTTAAAATGTATGAAAGCAAGCTGTACCCCAAAAACCATGAGCACATGTCATCAGAACCTCCTAAGGCTGTGTCACAGGTACATCCCTAACCTTGGCCAAATAACCTTTCTAAATTGACTGAGACCTGTCTCAGATATTTTGGTTTCACAATAGTGATAGGGTCTCACTAAGTTGCCTAGGCTTGTCATGAACTCCTGGCCTCAAGCCTTCTTCCCCTCTCTGCCCCCCAAAATGCTGGGTTTACAGGTGTGAGCCACTGCACCTGGTCCCTGTTCCTTGTTTTTCTAAGGAGAACAAAATACCATACTTCCCATCTTCCAGCCCTTACCAGTGTAGCAGCCCACAAATTATCATATACTTTTTTCTTTTTTTCCTGAGACACAGTTTCAGTCTGTTGCCCAGGCTGGAGTGCACTGGCCTAATCTTGGTTTACTGCAACCTCTGCCTCCCCAGTTGAAGCAATCCTCTTGCCTCAGCCTCCCAAGTAGCTGGGAATTACATGCATGCACCGCCATGCCCAGCTAAATTTTGTATTTTTAGTAGAGATGTGATTTCACCATGTTGGCCAGGCTGGTCTCCAACTCCTGATCTCCGGTGATCCACCCACCTCGGCCTCCCAAAGTGCAGGGATTACAGGCATTAGCCATTGTACTTGGCCCCCTTCACTTATTTTTATCCAGTTTCTGTAGCAGTACTATTCACGAAATACACTTATTGTTTACTTAGCATAAGCAAAATGGCGAATGGTGTTATTAGTTGACTGCTGCTGCACAATTATCACAAAGAAGAAAATAAAATATTACTATTTGGGGGTTTCATCAACGTGAAGATGGCTGTAATTTCAATTTCTGAGGTATGGTAAGGAAAATGGGAGTGGAGGGAAGAGCAGGGTGGGGTAGTGAATGAGAAGGGAAGGGAAGAAAGGTTGGGGACTGGTGTCCAGTATATAACATATTTGTCATTCAAAAGACTTGATTTGTATATCAAAGCCATTTTGAATATCTGTTAACAACTGAGTCTTAAATGAGTGACTCATCTGGCACAACTAGTAATAAGATGAATGCTAATGTCTTATTAGAACAGAATTATTCAAAACAGTGCCAAAGACTATTCTCTTTGAACATTTTAATAATGTAGAGCTGGCCGGGCCCAGAGGCTCACACCTATAATCCCAGCACTTTGGGAGACTGAGGTGGGCAGATCATGAAGTCAAGAGTTCAAGACCAGCCTGGCCAACATAATGAAAACCCGTCTCTACTAAAAATACAAAAATTAGCCAGGAGTGGTGGCGCACTCCTGTAGTCCCAGATACTCAGGAGGCTGAGGCAGGAGAATCAGTAGAACCTGGGAGGCAGAGGTTGCAGTGAGCCAAGATTGGGGCACTGCAGCCTGGGTGACAGTAAGAGACTTTGTCTCAATAACGATAATAATAATGTAGAGCTGGGTGGAAATGATTTGCCTCCTCTGAAGATTCTGCAGATCTCAGAGGCTCTAGGGCCAAAATCTCCCTGTTCTTCCAAAGAAAGGGGTAGCATAAAGAGGTCCTGCTTTCAGTCAATTAATATGTATTCACTGGAAATATTTTTCAGCTACAGAATTATCATAAAAAATAATTTATGAAACATTTATATACTGTACTAAATATTTTGTACTGAATTTTAAAAACATATCCATCATAATCAGCAACATGGCTTATTCTAACCTTAGTTATATAATAAAATGTGATTTTTATTGTATTGACAATCCTAAATGAAAGAAAAAATGTTTCATGTGGGGAGAAATGCAAAATAATAGCAGAACCTTCATTTGCTACTAATACTTCAAAATGAAATCCTTTCATATTTTTAATTTTTTTAGAGACGGGTCTTTCTCTGTCCCTTAGGCTGCAATGCAGTGGTGTGATCACAGCTCACTATAACCTGAACTCCTGGGCTCAAGCAATCTTCCTGCCTCAGCCTCCTGAGTAGCTAGGACTACAGTTGCATGCAACCATGACTAGCTAATTTTTATTTTTATTTATTTATTTATTTATTTGAGATGGAGTTTCACTCTTGTTACCCAGGCTGGAGTGCAATGGCGCGATCTCGGCTCACCACAACCTCTGCCTCCTGGGTTCAGGTAATTCTCCTGCTTCAACCTCCTGAGTAGATGCGATTACAGGCACGCGCCACCATGCCCAGCTAATGTTTTGTGTTTTTAGTAGAGACAGGGTTTCACCATGTTGACCAGGAGGGTCTCGATCTCTTGACCTCGTGATCCACCCGCCTCGGCCTCCCAAAGTGCTGGGATTACAGGCTTGAGCCACCGTGCCCAGCAACTAGCTAATTTTTAA